GATAGATGTGGTACTGGAAACGGTTATAGGTTACTTTTACTTGCGAAAAATTTTTGTATGAAATTTTTTGTTACGTCTTTCGATTTGCTTCAAACTTTCCAGAATTATTGTTTATAATTTATATTTAAAGTATACATATTTCTATTTCAAACTACTCATTAAAGAGGCTTATTTTTGTAACTTTTTTATTTCTACCTGTACTAACAAATAGAATCGTTGAACAAAATCAGTATTAACGCGAGCGAAACCGCGGGTAAGAACTAGTCAATTTATAACTAATAATCATCACAAAATACATCTTTATTACTAAGCGATTATATGGTAATTACGTAGATAACTTCACAGAAAAGTTTCATTACATTACTTATTTTTTTTATACAAATAAAATAAATACCTGATAAATAAGTGTTGAGAATCTAGTAGTGGTTAAATGGATGTAAAAATACAGTCACATGCAGACTGAATTAAAAAAAAATCGGCCGTTAACTGTCCACTGTTGGACAAATCTTCCCTGTAAGGAGAGTTTTGCTAGTAGTTGCCACGCTTGATAGGCGGGGTGGCAATCGCAGTTAGGCTTTTAGAGATGTTTTAAGTGGGACGCTGCTGCCCATTCCTCGCCCTCCTTAGTCGCCACTTACGACACCCACGGGAAACGAAGGGGTGGCCCATTCTATGCCAGAACCGACACCGACACCATACCATAGCATATTAATTACATGAGTGCAGTATTAAATTGTCATTAGCAATAGATTTGGATTGAGATCGATGTTGGATTCAAGAGCTATCCTACTGTTTGTTTGTTTGTTTGTTTATTGATTATTATTATAATTTAATTGCTTTCTATTTGTATATAATTATTATTTTCTTTTGTTTGTTTTGTTTTGGTTTCTTTTTTCTTGTTTTGTGCGCTACTGTGTGGGCCGCATGCTTCTTCGATTAAATCATTTCTTTCTTTCTTTCTTTCTAAATATTTTAGATAAATCAAAACTAAACTTAAACTTCATATGGATTTAAGTAAAATTCTAACTGAAGAGCCCCGCTAAAAATCAGCGCTGTACCTTTGCGGCTGCTGCATAAAACTGAGCGTGAACTGTTTCAGCAAACATGGGGTCTAATTGACTCATTGTTAGCAATACCGCGTGGAGATCGACCTGACCCTATCAGGTCGATCTCCACGCGGTTCCACCTGGAAACCGTCGTGGTTTATTCTAGTGATATTCGTCACGATGGGCTAACTGACATGCCTTTTTATTCTCACCTATCATACCTTACATAACATAACATAGCAGCCTAAGTTAAATAAAAAACTAAAGAAAAAACCCTCCTTTTTGCTTCTATAGTCGAGTAATAACTCACACAACTAAGGCAAATTTAATGACCTCATTACGATTAACATGTACGTACTTACACTAGTATAAATAAGTAAATTATTATTATTATTAGTATAGTTTTTTCTTTTGTTTTGACTCAGTAATTGCATTTCCAGTGTGTATGTAAGTAAGCTGTAATATAACATAGTAAGCTTAGTTAAAAAATCATAACCCTCCTTTTTGCTTCCATAGTCGAGTAATAACTCACACAACTAAGGCAAATTTAATGACCTTATTGAGATATAACGAAACATTATATATAGTGCTGTTTTTATTCGGACATATACAAAAAAGCATTACCCTCCTTTTTTGATAATGGGATAATAAAACGTGCTCCGCCAGTGTATCCTGATAACGCAGGCGGGGTTACCATTCCATTATCATGTTTTAAAATAAAAAATTGGCTCCTTTACATAGTGAAGTAAGGGTATAAGTTTAGTTTAACACACAATGTTATTGCAAGCGACCTCTATTTTGGATATAAACTTAAACGTTTGATAAACAGTGATAGTTAGTTTATGTTTATTTGTCTAACTCGCGACGGAATTCTAAAATTGTACAATGAAATGACTTTTGAACTTATCGATAATATGCTACGTATTTTAATAGAACCCGTACTTAGTTTACGCAAGATAAACATTCCGTTACATTATTGTATAAGCATGTGCAGTATCAAAGTGCAAAGTACAGTTTTGTTATCCTATTATCAAAAAAGGAGGGTAATGCTTTTTGTATGTATGTATTTCCTAATAAGAATATCACTAAGCATAATATTTTGTTACTATTAATGAGGTCATTAAATTTGCTACGAACAGTATCCAAGTGTGCCTCGACGATCACTCTTGGGCAGCGGCCCCATTCTATTTTTTTTTTTTATTTTTCACCATGATGATGGGTTACCTTTGCGTTGTTAGCCGTGTAAGCTTCTATGGTACACGTGTCCGCCTCTCACGTGAGCTTGATGGTCTGCTTGGACGTAAGGTTGGATTTTTTATTATTATTATTGATTTTACTTAAATATCTTTCATGTATGGATATAGTCATGTTATAATTTTATTGTATTTATGACTAAAATTAGTAATGATATGGTCAATTGTAGGTATTTATTAACAATTTATTATAGTTTTCCTTCTATATTTACATTACCGAAATGGAATAAAAATAAATACACCTCTGATGACTTGAAGAAGAGGAAATATCGAATGGAAATACTCAATATTTATGTTAATGTCAAAGTGGTTGAAGATATGAGAATAGAAGTCATTCATTTTCGATTTTTATGAGTGAATTATATTTATTTCTCGTTTTTGCAAACAAGCAGAGAGTCCACTTCAGACGTAGGAAAAGTGGTTACCGTTACTTGTATATTTTTTTTAAAGCATGACAATGAAATCTCCTGAAACCATCGTGCTGAATTCCGGGTGTATTCATCACGATGGGCTGACTTGCCTTTTCATTCTTACCTATCACCCCTCACTGGTGCCCCGCAAGCGAATACCGTTAGCGCGGGCGGTGCTACTATTCTATTACCGATACGACAACATAACCTTCAAGAAAAGAGCATATTCCCTTTTAAAAGACTGGCAACACACCTGCAATGCCGCTGGTGTTGTGGGTGACCATGGCGGCGGCGGCGGCGGTAGTCACTTACCATTAGGTGAGCCGCATGATAGTTTGCCCCCAGTGTTGTAAAAAAAAAATTATCATCCACTAAAAAAAAAAACATTACCACTGTTTATTTGGGTAAAAATGAACCACATGTATTTCTGTCATATAAGTTTTTTTTAAGTCACTAGCTTTTACTGGCCGCTTTGTCCCTTTGTCCGCGTGACCGGGATATGTTAACTGATCGAAATAAAAAGTGGCCTATATCCTTCTCCATCATATAAATATGTGTATACCAAATTCCATAGTGATTGGTTAAACCGTTAAGGCGCTATAAGGAAACAAATAAACAAACTCATTTTTACAGGGGGAAGGATTGTTAGTAATGGGGTCTAATTTTCCCATTACTCTATCAGGTTGACCTCCACGTGGTTCCCCCTGGAAATTACCATGGTTAATTCTAGTAGATTGGTCTTGAGGGGCTAACTGACCTGCATTCATCGTCCCTTATCATCCCTCACTGGTGTCCCACCAGCGTATACCGACAGCGCAGGCGGGGTTACCATTCCATTATCACCCATTAAAAAAAACTCATTTTTACATTTATAATATTGGTAAGGATACCAACATACTGGTGGAAGACTTTGTACAAAAATAATGTGTGGGTACCTTTATCACACTCGTGTTTCTGATAGTCACTTTCCGTTAGTATGTTTATACTTCCAAATTGTATTGATAAAAAAATACAGTTGGGTTTTTTATCACTGTCGCATCCACTTGTTTGGACTCGATTGGAGATGTCATATAGATAGATAGATAGATACTTTTTATTGTTTCCTCCAAAAGATTATAATAGTAAACTATATATTTATTAAATTTAAACCTTTTTAATCAGCAACTATTTTTTAGATATGACTAACTGACGAGACGAGACGCTGAGCCGGAAAGCGCCGTACGTCCACAGAAGAAGAGTTCCGGATGCAGTCGAAACAATTGTCGGTAACGACATAGTTTATAAAATTTCTCGTTATACATGTCCATTGTATCATATCAGCTGTTACCTGTCCACTGCTGAACATAGGCCTCCTCCATAGACTGCCACAAGGAACGGTCCTGAGCCACCTGCATCCACTGACTCTCTATAATGCATTTGAGATCGTTACTTTATCTACTGAGGAATCATCCTACATTGAATTTGCCCGTATGAGGTTGCCACTCATCCTTCCTTCCACTTTCTTCCTTATCGGTTGTCGGTTCTTCGAGTTATACTTCGTGCTATGTCGGTCACTTTGGTTCTTTTGCGGATGTCTTCATTTCGGATTCTGTCACGCAAAAGTCCAAGCATAGTCCTTTCCACAGCTAGCAGAGTAACTCGAACCTTTTGCATATGTACGGTTATCTGTAATCGTAGCCGTAGGGCGCTGCCGTGTAGGATCATGTTTCGGTTCCGTAGGTTATCACTAGCGACATACCTTTAAAGGTATAGGTTAAAGACCTTCGTATTTGAACTTTGAAGTATTTTGGATAAGATGTGGCGTAGTCTTCCGAGCACTGTTACACATACATATATATATAGGCATAACTTTTTTACAACACAGGGAGCAAACGAGAATGCGGCTCACTTGATGGTAAGTGACTACCGCCGCCTATGATCACCCACAACACCAACGGCATTGCAGGTGTGCTGCCGGCCTTTTAAAAAGGAATATGCTCTTTTCTTGAAGGTTACGATGTCATATCGGTTCGCAAATACTGCTGTTGGAAGTTGATTCCAAAGAGTGGTTGTGCGTGAATGAAAGTGCCTTGAAAAACACACGGTGGAAGACCGCCACTCATCCAGATGGTTGGGATGAAACTTTAGTTTATGGCGGGTTGTCCGGTGATGAAAATCAACAACAGGTATCAATCCGAATAATTCCTCATAGCATTCTCCATGATAAATTCGGTAGAAGATGCACAGAGATGCAACATCTCTGCGCAGTTTCAGTGGGTCGACAGGTGTCAAAAGAAATAAAACTAAGTAAATTCATATAAAACCTTTATTGCTGTCTTATTAAATACTTACTTACCTAACATTATTATAAATAATAATACTCTTTCGATCATTATCCATTGTACCTACTTATCATTTGCTAAAGGAAATAGGATGAATTGCAAGCATTCTTTGAGATTACATGCAATATCAGTTTTTAAATACTGAACATGGTTTTCCAGTTGACTTAATCTCGTTGATATCTCGTTCTTTCCTATGGTGTCAGTGATATACTTATATAAAGATAAATACTTTTGCCATTGACCTAGGAGGGCTGGGCTCATGACACTCAGTTCTCAATAATTACTACGTATAGCTTCGTTTCATTACATTATATTACATTGCAAATCTAATTTCAGCAATAGGTAATTTTTATTATCATAGAGTTAACAAAAAACGAATGATATGACCCCCTTACATTGTAGTACAACAGATTTTAGGTTGCAGGATTATACACATCACTTCAGAATTATTTGCATCCTTTTACTGAGCGTTATGTCAGTGCAAGTGAAAATTATTCTAATAGAAACGTGAGTTAAATTTATCAGTGGGAGACTTTGAACAAAAGTTGTTTGCTTGAGCACCTCTGTTCTATTCATGTTTCTACAGTGAAGCAGTTGTGTTTGCATAACTGTGTTTCGGTTAGAAGGATAGGATATGGCAGTGTATTTACAGGGTACAGAGGAATAAGACCCGAGTCCTCAGGAATGGCAAGGCATGGCAGGTATAATAGGCGAAACACTACATTCTCTTATATCCATGGTACTGGTTATATCTATAAACGACGGTTTCCACTTTCCATCAGGTGGCCCGTCAGCTCAATTGCCATTTTAAGTTGCATAAAAAAAAATAAGAAATATTAAAAGGGTTCGTATCTTTAGCTTGACAAAATGTGACAACGTCACATTTATTTGTCAATTTTCAAAAACAATTGAAGAATTTTGTAACTAATTATTTAAACATTATTCTGCTAGCGAACTGTGTAATAAAAATATAATATGTTAATTAAAACATTAATCATGTTATTCTGTCGTGTTTTATTTGTACACAAAAAAGCACCTACTTGAAAAATACTAAAGCAAAATATGAAGTAGGTGCAAGATTTTTAATAATACATTTATAACGTACCTACTCAATGATTAACATTATAGTTCGTAGGCGGTGGTATTTTTTAAATAGTCAACCAGAAACATTGAGAATTCTTTGGTTGTTTTTGAAAATTGACAAGTAATTGCAACGTTGCTGTATTTAGTTACGGAGGCTCTAGTTAGTTATATACTGACAACTGGGCACATAGATCTATATCATTTATAATCTAAGGTTGCATACTCATATCTCTCTGGGTAAAGAGACCTTAGATTCAGTTTCATCCATTCTTCTAAATGGTTGCTAATAATTTCCATTACAGCTTGTATAGTTAGTTTTTTTTAGTGCAATTAGCACTAAAAATCTTTTTTTTCTACCAATTATTAACTGGCAATATAATGTGACTGATCCATTGTATGATGTACGGGTATTTGACAACTTATTATGGTTTATGCTAAAATAATATTAATACAAATAAGAATAATGTTGAAATTTGTAGATACTTAATATTTTATCCCGAGGTTTTTGGGTAGTAATGTCTGCCACAATAATTATTATAATAACTAGCGACTCGCTCTAGAATGTTTCTTTTTTTAATAAACTATGTTACTTGCTGATAATGTAGCTTTCTACCATATAGGTGAAAGAAATTCTAAAATCGGATAAGAAATTTTTGAATTTATCCATTCCAAAGAAAAAATTTAATATTTTCTATAATATTAATTTAGACAAGGATGGTATCGTCATCGAGCCATGGCAGGTCTAGGCAATTCGTTTTGAACATCTTGTCCTGTCTCACGCCATGATGGTGGGAGTCCATACTTCTTTGGCTTCAGAATGTATACGAACTGGAAAAAAGGGAAGTGTACATAAATAGTTTAATTCAAATAATACATCTTGTGTAAGGGTGTCGTACTTTGATTCCAAGAGTTTTAGGCCTCCTTCTTTGTCCATGAACCGTTCTGATTGGGCTTATTAGATGCGTGCCTTTCAAAGTATAAAACAGGTAAGAATTACAATGATTTTAAGGAAGTCTTCGTGGAGATTGACTTGACAGGTTTAAGTTGGCATAAGGGTCGTTAGATCAATCTTATTCTACCACAATGTTGGTGCGCAAATATTAAAACTTAGGGGGGGAAAGGGATTGTTAGTAATGGAGACTGAGAATCTCATTGCTAGCAATATACCCAATCAGGTCGACCTCCTCGCGGTTCTCCCTAGAAACTATCATGGTTAATTCCTGATGAATTCATCGTGATGGGCTAACTGGCCTGTTTTCATTCTCATCTATCATCCTTCACTGGTGCTCGGCAAGCGTATACCGTTAGCGCAGGCGGGGTTACCATACCGTTTTCAGCATTCACAAAAAAATTAAAACTTAATATAAAAAAAAAATCAACGGAATTTAACAGATACATATCGCAATAATATTTAATTACATCCATGGTGCTGTTCATGTCTATAGGCGATGGTTATTACTTTTTATCAGGTAGGTAAAAATTCTTGTCTTGATTTTTTTTTATACAACTTTGAATGGCAAACAAGCTGACGGCCCACCTGATGTAAAGTGGTAACCGTCGCCTATAGACATGAGCAGTACCAGTACCACTACCAGAGTAGTGGACATAACAGAGTATACTGTTTCGCCCATGATACTCACCATACATTGCCATTCCTGAGGACTCAGGTGTTATTCCTCTGTACCCAGTAAATTCACGCAATATCCCACCCTTCAAACCGAAACATAGCCATGCAAACACAACTGCTTCACGGTTGAAACACGAATAAGACAGAGGTACCCAAGCAATCGACTTTTGTACAAAGTCTCCCTCCTCTCTCACTTACCGTGAGTACAGCAGTTATGGTGCCGTTCAAGAAGCCAGCGGCTACATCACTCCAGTGATGCTTGTGGTCCACCACGCGTGACATGCCCACGTACCAGGCGCTCATAAATATCGCGAACTGTACGCCGTGGCGAAGCAGCTTGGAACCGCGCCATTTGGCTTTCACTTGGATGTAAAACTAGAATAAAAGAAATAAATATCATATTAGCTTTACAGGGCTACATGTGATTTTTTAGTTTTTTTTTCTTTTTATACCACTGACATGGCAAACAAGTATACGGCCCACCTGATGCTAAGTGGTTACCGTAGTCTAGTTGCCTAGTTTCCTAGCTGCCGGTTACTGTTGTGGTGAAACATAACAGATATGGTGACATTTGTTTTATTAGACAGAGGCTCTTTTTTTTAATGGTTGATAATAGAATGGTTATTCCGCCTGCGCTAACAGCAAACGCTGGCGGGACTCCAGTGAGGGATGATAGGTGAGAATGAAAGGGCAGGTTAGTTAGCCCATCGTGATGAATACACCCGGAATTCAGCACGATAGTTTCTGGGGGCGGACCATGTGGAGGTCGATCTGACAGGGTATATTGCTAGCAATGGGACTAGTAATCCGCAATAACCACCCCTTTCCTCCTAGACATTGGCTTATCTCAATATAAACTGAATACATAATTGATATTTCGCTCGTACATATAGCTTGGCATTAGCGCCTCTCCTGGCATGGCTTGACGTGTGGCGGTGGCTGTGACTGAAGGGTGCCTTAACTCGGCATTGGCTAGTGGCGACATCTCATAACGCGATGTGGCGTTATAGTAGAAAATTAATTTGACTACAATACTTTTTTAATTAAAGTTACAAAACACCCTTTTTGGAGGAAGCTATATTTAGCAGTGGAGAGTTAACGGCTAATACAACGACTAGCTTTTAGCTGAATCCACACGAATTGATACCGAAACTAGTCGAGCTTTTTCGATCTAATTATACGTAAGTTAAACTGGTAGTTATTAAATTAAAAATTGACAGATAATTACGACCTTGCCACAGTTCGTTCAAGATCAAAATCGTTAAGCTAAAGTTACGAACTCTTAAAAAGGAATTAATACTGCATAGGTAGAACTCACTATTAGATATAAGGCTGTGTACATCGCATAACTGGAGTGCGCGCTAGGGAAGGACAGTCGAGCAATCATGATGAGATTGGCATCGGTACCCTGGCAGGTGTAGTCGACAATATACCCCAATTCGTTGAGGGGGGACGTCAAATTCGGCAACGGTCTGCATACCTGCAGGTTAGTATTGGCATTTATATTATTAACTAGTTGACACGGTAAACGTTTTGTCTCCCATTTCTAATTTTTCTTAATAAAATTGTTTTATAAAAAAAACTCAAATTGTGCCAAAACCAGTTATTATTTCTATCGTAGTGTGTAATTAGATCCTTTCAGATAAGAAAAAAAGAATTTTGCAAATCGGTTTATCACTGACGATGTTTTTTTTTTATAAAACTTAGAATGGCAAACAAGCTGACGGCCCACCTGATGGAAAGTGGTAACCGTCGCCTATACACATGAGCAGTACCATGTACGTAACAGAGTATACTGTTTCGCCCATGATACCCACCATGCGTTGCCATTCCATTGTTATGATGTAACAAACATAATAAAATATAGTTAAAGTATCTAACTACCCTACTTAATTTTTTTGTTAAGCAATCTGACAGTGTACTTAGCTGTGTGGGTTGGAAAGGCAGTCTTGATAGAAATTTTTTATATCGAATATATAATATAATTCAAAATACCCTATAAATATATAGATTTTACTATGATTCTAAGCTAAATACTTTTGCTAAACTTTCAACTGACTTCAAAAGAGGAGATTTTAAATTTGATTGTATTTTTTAAATCTTTGTAAAAAAATGACCAATTTGGAAAATAATTTCCTACCTGCAAGGATACTCTTACAGATTGGTCCCATAGAAGTTTTATTAAAATCAGTTGAGTAGTTTAGTTTTTACATTAAAATAATTTGTTTTGTCATGGTTGAAATCGATGTTTTTCTGTGGAACTTTTGTCGAAAAAACAAAAGCAAACAGCACAAGAGCTAAAAGCATAAGAGAACAAACCCATAAATTATCTACGTGTATCTGCGATCAGTCTCCCGGAATTTTCTTTAATCTCGAGTTCAAATTAATTCAATTATTTGACCTTCGAGTAAAAATCGATTAATAAATTTATTAAAAAATAAATTAATTATAACGTATCCTACTAAAATAGTAATTATAATTAAAATAATTAAAGTATGAGTTCTAGAAACTTACATCATAAAAATATGGTCTCAGCCTCCCCACCACATATTTGCCCATATTCGCCGACAACTGCTGACAAGCCGCTCCGAAAGTATACACGCCGATGGCTCTGTAACTCTCCCATACCCAGCCTGGCACCAGTGAGCCTGACAGATACTTATCGCCAATTCCTTTCCCTTGCTTGTCACGGAACAATTCGATTGCTACTATCTGAAAAATATGGACAAGTATCTATTAAGTAGCAGCAGGCAAATCTGCTTTGAAACTCTAGATAATGGTAGATCGTACCCATATGAACTATAACGGTCTAATCAAATATTAATTACTGTTAATATTATTATTAAAAAAAAAAATAGCATCCACATCAAATTCAAAAATCCATTTGATCTGGGAAATTTATAATCAATTTACTTGTAACATTGACCAATTGACGTGCATTGTATTAGGTGATATAATAGATATACAAACTTTTTATTGAAGATCAGGCTGTATGGTTTAGTTCCTTCGCCTTTCTCATTATGCATACAAAATACAAATACAAATAGTTTTATTTTGTTTGAAAAAATGGTATAAAAGATGGTATATAATATTTAAATGTTGTTCACATTTTTCACCAGAATCTGGCGTACAAAATTTATTTAACTATATTATATTATAAAATAGTATTATTTTACTTAAATCGTCATATTATATAAATGTCAATATATTTACGTATTAATAATAAATTATACAGGTTACAAATTACAATCATTTTACAAATTACAAATTACATTAATTGTGTCACATATTTAAGCTTTAAAATATTCACTATATTAATTAACCGAGTAAATACATTTTTCTATCAGCCAGCTTTTTAGTTTCTTTTTAAATATATTCAAGGGTAGTGTTTTTATTTCGTCCGTTAATTTATTATAAATGCTTATTGTCATACAGTAGGCATAAATTGATATTACTACTTAGGTGATGTAAAAAATAAACATCAAAAGTTAGACAGCCAATGTAACGTTTAGCTTGTCTGAATTATGACCAGACTCTATTATTATATTTTAAACATGGTACATACATCACGTAGAGTTTTAGCAGTTTCTAAGCTGTTTTATTTACCTGGTTTTAAGTAACTCTTGTTTTTTTTTTTCATCTAAATCTAATTTATAGAAGCGTGATTCTTTAACTCTTGTTTCTTAATGAATAGCCAATACTTACTTACCGCGACAATGACAATACTGAAGCCTGCGGCCGCCAGTGCTCCCTCAGATATGGTTTCAGGTTTTAGCGGGAGACGAATGGACTCATCGTCTTCGAAGTAACCTCGTCGGTACGGCTCCCCTAGTAGCAGGAGCAGCAGGAGCGGTAAGCCAGCTGTGTTAACATATAATTTTCGTAGCAATACACTTTGACAACCCCATTGCTAGCAATATGCCCTATTATGTCTTTTTTTATATGGGTGAAAATGGTATGGTAACCCCGTCTGCGTTAACGGGATACGCTGGCGGAGCACCAGTGAAGGGTGATAGATGAGAATGAAAACAGGCCAGTTAGCTCATCGTGTTGAATTCATCAGGAATTAACCATTATAGTTTCCAGGGAAAACAACGAGGAGGTCGACCTGGTTGGGTATATTGCTAGCAATGATATTCTCAGTCTCTATTACTAACATCCCTTTCCCCCCAAATGTTTGTACAAAGTCTCCCTCTGGTGTTTATAGGTATTTCTACCTTTTTCTACGTAATTCTACGTAATTCTACGTAGGTACTATGTTCTCTTTAATTTATCTATTATTCAATATTTATTTATAGATAAATGACACTCTTAAAACTGATACGTGTGAATTTAATAGAAAACACCCTTAATTAATTGAGATAAAGGTATAAGTAGTAAATGTGTATTTTTTTAATTGATGATAATGCAATGGTAACCCCACCCGCGCTATCGGTATACACCGGCGGGGCACCAGGGAAGGATGATAGGTGAGGAAGAAGTAGGCCAGTTAGCCCATCGTGATGAATTCAACAAGAATTGTTCACGATGATTTCCAGGGGGAACCACTTGGAGGTCGACCTAATAAGGCATATTGCTAGCAATGGGGCTATCAAATTCAATTGCTAACAATCCCTTTTTCCCCAGTAAATGTGTATTAACACAACTAATTCAGGCTGCAGCTGAAAACCAGTGCTTTGCTTTTAAGCAAAACTATCACTGAGCTGTAGCCTATTTGAGTCACTGCGACATACATGGCCAAAACATATTTTCGTATTTTATCTTTTGTTCTATATTTAAAAACAGTGTAAATAATTTGATTATATCAACTCATTTGTTAATTTACGTGTGTCATAAATGGCTTAAATAAAGTGGTTATCTATCTATTTGTAAATGATGAATGATGTATTATAAATTAGTCACATTTTCAAATAATTACTACTTTATTGATTACGAATACTATTCATTACAGATTACGATAGTAAGTCGTTAGAATGGCAAATTTTTTTTATACTACTTAGGAGGCAAACAACCATACGTCTCGTCTGATAGTAAACATTCTGCCTTTTTTTAAAGGTAGCCGTCTTGTCGAAGCATTTGTAAGGAGACGCTCTATCTGACATAGATGATATTGATCAAAGAATGATTGTATTGTAATTGAGTTTGGTAAGCGCCAATGTTACGGTGACCAAGTTTTCCTCTTTTGACAAGGTTGCAGCTGTTCCGTGACTTGTAATAATCAAGTACCAAGTGTCATAGATTTTTTATACGACGGAGGTAGTGAGCGACTGTACGACTACGCAGATGGGAAGTGGTTATCGTATTGGCGTATTTATTTCCTAGGGAGCTTTAACCTTTAAAAAGGCTGTTTTCTCAGACATGCTTTTGCGTATAGTTAAAAACATCACTCGCATCCTGTGGTGGGCACAAGACAATTTAATGGTGGGCATGGCTCACCAGGTCCCGGCAAATATGTTACGCCTATGGCAGTTATGTTAAAATACAATTGTCTGTTATATTAGGAGCGTTTTCAGAGCATTTAATTCCTAAGGTACATGTGTACTTATATTTGTTAATGGGGATTAGCAACCCCATTGCTAGCAATAATTAATATGTAATAATCTATATTCAAGCAAATAAAGTTATCTTTCATTCACTCGATATATATCAGATCGACCTCCATGCGGTTTCCCCCGGAAATCATCATGATTGATTTATTGTTGAATTTGTCACGAAGGGCTAACTGACCTGTTTCATCTTAACTTATAATCCCTCACCGATACCGATACCGATATCGCAGGCGGGGTTACCATTCCGTTACATCCATTAAAAAAAAAACTATATTTGTTTATAAATTGATATGAAAAGAAATAAATAAATTCTTATAACCAAAATCGATTTGACCTATAAAGAATTTTTGACGCCTTATTTATATAAGGTGCAGTCTTTAGCATCCTAAACCGTGTCCCAAGTAGCAAGGTGACGTCTGCGACTTAATAAAACGTCAGTTTTAAATCATTTTGGGATCAATAACTAAAAATCGACGTCAGTATGACGAATAATTGCTACCAGGGGTTGTATTATTAAAACCTAGTTTGTCCTTTAAAAAAATTAAGGTTCAAGAACGACAAAATAAAAACAGTGCATTTCGATTAATAAATTGCCAGATGGACAAGCCGTTAGTATCTAATTAGGGGGGGGGAAGGGATTGTTAGTAATGTGGAGGTTAGTCCCCGTTGCTATCTATCTACCCTATCAGGTCGACCTCTATGCGATTCTCCCTGGAAACTATCGTGACTAATTTATCGTTGAATTCGTAACGAGGGGCTAACTGACCTGCCTTGTCATCCTCACCTATCACCGCTCACTAGTACCCCGCCAGTGTATATCGATAGCGCAGGCGGGGTTACCATACCATTTTCACTCATTAAAAAAAGTACATAATTAGGGATGGGAGGCTCAAAATTTTGCGTAGTTTTTCTGTATATTTCTTTGGGAAAAATATTCAGTTTCACTGGTCATAAACATTTTTATTTTATTCTTAACGTTGGTATTTATGTCATTGATCATATCGCACTGTTTATTACATCATTGTTTCGCTGTTTCGTAATTAATCATTTTAAGCCATGACATATTATGTATATTGAATTATAATTCTTGATAACAAATAATTGGTTATAATAACATTCTTTTTACATTAATCGGATTTAACTCTAGTATCATTTACTTATTAACACGTTGACTGCCAATTACGAGATAAGCTGTTGATTGCGTTCTTTTCTACGCCAACTACGAGTTTTTTTTTCTTTTTTTTTGTAATGGGTGAAAATGGTATTGTTACTCCGCCTGCGCTAACGGGATACGCTGGCGAAGCACCAGTGAAGGGTGATAGATAAAAGCCAGTAGTTACCACACATGGCAGGTGGATTGGCAACAGCAGTGAGGCTTTGGAGATATTTTTAGACGGACGCTGCTGTTCATCCTGCTTAGCCTCTGTCGCCTTTTACGACACCCATGCGAAAGGAAGGGGTGACCTATTCTATGCCGGGACAACTTTAAATTACAATAAATGATTACAATGTTTACAGTCTGCATTTTTTTATTCTTACAAGGCTACTTGTTCGAGTCGGTGAGTGTTTGAATGAGACTGTCTCAGTTTATCTCTTATCATAATTATTACATTTATTACATACCTTATTACAGATATGAAGAAATATCTTTCGATTATCTAAATACAGTAATAGGGGAAAAATGTATCTAGCAACGTCATATGCGTTAGTTAAATCTTATTTTTATTGGTGAAAACCTGTAATTGGCTTTTTGTCTTTACCGTCTATTTTTATAATGTAATTTTTAAGCTGTTGGTTTTTTTTTTAAATAAAATTTAAATAAATAAAATATCAAGAAAGTAGAATATTTTTTATTTACGCTATTTTTTAACTAACTGGCAACTTAAATTCTTGACGCGTCTATTAATAATTTTCCAAATACTGTTTTAGCGCTTCACTAACGTATAGCTAATATAACAGTTCTTGATTTAACTGTTGAGTTAATGTTAGTGCATATTATTAAGGCTGTTTAATTTTTTATTAACTAAATTTGATATAATACCATTAAGTATAATATTGTCTAAAATATGTGTATAAAAAAAAAACTAAGTATAAAAAATAAACCTAACTAACTAACAATATGATTAGACGATTAAGCCGGTGTTTAAAAGCAAAAAAGTGAGTACACGGAATTCACTAAGAACCGTTAGTTGTCATGGTCACTGTGTAAGTATATACAAAATAAGTAAATCTCACCGCATCCTAAAGTAAGAATATCCAACACAATATTCCGAAATAGACGGTCCAAGGCCATTTTTACACACACGACATGGTGCACATTAATTTTCAAGTTTCTAAACAAAATACACTATGACTGCGTGACTGCTCAGTGCTTGCGAATGATATACTGACACTGATAAACCTCACAATCAGTGGGTAGATTAGTCATAACTTACGTATTTGAAAGGTGCCTACTATCTATCTAAGAAAAGGAGATCCATACCTTTTTCTGTAACTAGGTAATGCAAATCTAAATAATTCGTTCAATTAATCATCTTTTGGTTGTGAATAATCACTATAATGTAAACACGGAAAATTAGTGTTGCTTATCAAGTTTCTAAACTGGCAATAGCGACATCTGTTGTAGAATGTCTGAATCATCTATATAGAGTACGATAAATTATCGCAAAACAAACTTAAATTACAGATCAGAGAAATATAGCTTCAATTTTCGATATCAAGTGTCGTATTTGTAATGTGTATTTACTGTCTTAAGAATAAGGAACTGGGTTAAATTAGAGATAAGAAATAGGTTACGATTATGGTACCTTAAGTATATAACGCCATCTATTGTAGGATCTCTGATTCACAGGTAAAATTCAATATTCAATCTTTAGCACTGTTTTGCTATTCAACGTTATTATTGTTTATAGCAATGTGAATGTAGAGTAATATACTCTTACAAACAAGTGTATAAAACAAATAAATATATTGCTATAACTCAAATTACAATTAAGTTTTCAATCTTTGCTTAGTGATATACTTACCAAAAAGATGTAATTTGTACAGAATACAAGTCAGCTCGTTAACTTAAAAAGAAGTAAAATAAAATGAAAATTATAAAAATTAAGAACAATATTTATTATGCATTTTTTTTAAAACAGTTTATAAATAAGGAAATAAATATAGCTGCCACATAGTCCGATCTAGAGGACAGTGCTTGTTGACTACGCGTGCGTAATTAAATTAGCTAACAAACTTGTAATATTTCTAAGGCCGTGTTCACAGCGACTAAATTTAACAAAACAAAATGCAAACCATGTGCCATTCGTTGTGAATCATGAAATCTCTTATAGATGAAAATGGTAGGTAGCCGTGTCTGAGTTACCGATTTACGCTAACGGGTTACCAGTAAGAGGGTAGGTAAAGATTAAGTCAAGTCCGTTGGCGCATTGTGACGAATTCACTAGGCAATAACCACAATGGTATCCAGGAAAGACTATGTGGAGATCGACCTGACAGAGTATATTGGTAGAAAAGGGGCCGTTAAATTCCACTGCTAACAGTCCCCTACCCAGGACGACAAGGTCAAGGCTGATTGTTTTGGTTGGCTATTTTTGGTTTTCGTTTGTTTTCTTATACTTGGTCGCTATGAACCTAATGATATTAGGCACAAGTGACTTACGAATAAAATTTCAGCCACTACTAGGTGTTTTACATTTTCAAATGGAGTTGTACAAAAGTTTTTCTTAAATACTTTACTTATTGTTAACTAATTTAAAACCACTTTAATAAAATACATTAAAAATAGTGATTTTTATGACTAAAGCTTCCAACTTTTCATATTAATATCTAATTAGGAAGTATAAATGTAATTAAATTATACACTTACATTGACAATATTTGTCCTAAATAAAATAACAATCATTTCGTATTTACATATAAATAAAAACCTCATTTTATATAAATTTCCATTGTTCTAATTTTAAACATTTCAAATATTTTTTTTTTTTACAAAATGGTCAGTACGACATTGTAAATAATCACTTGAAATCTTCTATTCCCAATAGTGGATTAATTGGTAAAAAATTATGAAATAAATACAATGTTAATTGGAAAGAATGTATCAACCTGAAAACTCCCGAAACTGGACAAGTATTTAATAAAGAAATAAATGTTGAACTGAATGTTAAATTTCAGTGTAAGAGATTCAAATCTTTTTTGTGACGACGTGACGGCTCACTAGATGGTATTTGGTAACTGTTGCCTAAGTTATGGAGACATTTTGGTATTCCTGAGAACCAGAGTATGTACCACCTTTCACTGCCATATTCAAATTAAATAAGCACAGATGCATAATCACATAAACATGTTTTACGCTGTTAATTTTCTTAATTATAAAATATTATCATACCTCATTCTGCAACAATTAGTCCATTACCCTAAAATTGTCTTGAAAAGATTGTTTTCTGCAGTAAGACCGCCTTACTGCACTTATACAACTGTATCGTTTTATTTATTAATTGTCTGGCCTTCCTATACTGTATAATGCAAATAAAGCACACTCATTCATTCATAGCTGGATGATGGCAGAAACACAAGAAAGATGGATTGTTAGAAACCAATATTATTTTATATTTTGCATCTGGCAATTTGAAATGTGAATATTAACATTTTTAATTTTGTATGTGGCAACACAAAAAGAAACTATAATTGTAACCGCGTCTCTTTGTAATCTGTTTACTTGTTTGCAAATTATTGATTGTTCATTACAAATCACAATGTTCTTTAATCAATTCAAGAGCTACCAACGCCTCTCCACACAACAGTCGTATATGAAAATTTCAAAAATCAAAACAAAATTCGCTTTTAATTATTGTCATTACTATATTTAAAATTCGACTTATCGAGGAAAGTAATTTGATATATACTATCTATTGGTTTTCAGATTGTCACACTTCTACGAACCCAGTTTACAACGTAAAAAGTTTAAATATTTAAATACAGCTATAATATAATTTACACTTAACTAGCACCTAAACAATTTATCTTAAAAAATAACAGAAACATTAGCTACACTATATATAAAACTACAATTTGTATTTACAACTTTATATCACAGAATTAAAATACACGCTTTGCAGTCTTGCAGTCTGTAAAGCTAGTTTAGGTACTACATCTATACTAAACATGGTTTTTCTCGCATACAGCCTAGTTCAGACTGTTTAGTAATTCAGTCAAGTGGCGTGTAATATAGAAGCTTGATGCATACGAAAAAATATTAGTCGAATTCAGTTTAATACGTTAGAGTATTTTTTAATAATTTTAGTTGTTTAAATTGGGAACAATTTAGTAAAAAATATTTCACTTGACTGAATTACTAAAACAGTTTGAAGTAGGTCATAAACTTAGATTAGATTGCTTTAGTAATTCAGTGAAGAGGTGGGTAATAATAAAATATGATTCGACTAAATTTATATTGTGTAAACATATTCAGTTTCTAAATTACTTGCTACTCGACCAAATTACTAACACAATGTGAACTAAGCTTTATAGATACAGAACAATATATAATTCAATACCTAATAGGGTAAGTGTCGTATATTCACATCATTTGCTGATATGGGAAACAGGACAACAAATATCTGAGATACGACATAAATACGAACTAGTCTTATTGACCAAGGCGAGAATCAAACGCGGGATCTCATACGGATCATTCACATATAATTGTAAATCAATAAATATAAGTATTTGTTTTAAAACAAAGTTTAAAATACAGTATGCTGATGACTTTATCCCAATTTCAGTCAAGTCATACATGTATATGAATTAATAAATTATTTAATGTAATTATAAATTATTATGTGAAATTTACAAACACCGATATCTTGCACATATCCCAGCAAATAAATATAGTTAAGATATTAAAAATCATCGGTCTACTTTCACTTACACCGGGATTTGAACTTTGGACTTTGCTATCGTAAGGTTGCCTATAATCACTGAGCTACCAAGCTAATTAAATATTTCGATAAGTATCTAAAATCGTTCTAAAGATGCAAGGCCGTACCAACTACAATAAGCATTTGCATTGAATTTGTGTATTTTCTGAATATACGAGTATAAACATTGACAATTGCATAATTGTCTGCGGGTGCTATGTATTCTGCATATAAGGGTAGTTCGACCTTGCATTGGTGCTAAGCGGCCATATTTAAAATAGTTGCCATACTGATGAATATTTAGTAAGCGTGGTAATAAAATAAATACTATAAAAAGCACATAACAACATTGATAGATATATTTGCTAGGCGTGGTAATACAATAATTATTCGATATTGCATTGGTGGGTATAATAAGCGGTTATAATTAAATTAACTGCCATACTGATGTATAAATTTGTTAGGTGTGGTAATATAATAATTAGCACACCAAATATAACACCACACTAATGGATATAATTTGGTAGCCGTGGTAATATAATAAACACGGCGCAAAGTATAAATTGGTAATCACGAATCAGAACTTAATAAAATGTAAAACATAGAAGGCGCTTTGCCCTTGAGATTGAAAGAGATAAGTTTATGTATCGCGCTGGTATACATAGATACTAATTCGTATTGACGTTTTAATTTTAGACAATGTTAAAACTACATACGAGTACAACCTTACAAACAGACAAATGCAACAAACATAACATATTCAGATCCAAAAGGAATTAACGACCATACTAAATAATATTGTATGTTAAAATTAAATGCATATAAGCTAAATTCTTTGAAATATAATATAATTTTTATTATGCCATAAAATAATGTATCTCTTGAGAGTAAAATATTGCAATTCACGTATTTTTAATAGTAACTGTACCTTGAAAATATAAATTTCAAATTCTGGATCTACTTCATATTTGAATAACATTTATGTACATATAAGCAACCTACTGAGTATTCAATTGCCCAAATATCATGTAAATTATCATGTAACGATGAACATGTGGATAGAAAGTATATGCTTTATAATGAAGTGAATCTATTAAATATACTATTGTAATTTAAAATTAAAAACCTAGATTATTCTTAACTTGTACTATTAAATAAAAGGTATTTTATATTAAATAATTTTGTCTGTAATATTATTTTTCCAATAATGGGGAAATCAGATATTATAAAAATTCGAAAATATCAGAGAATACAGTAGGGAAGTCATATGTACCATATCAATGAAAAGTCCTTGGCATAGGCACCTTTGTAACCTCATTCTAAAAATTAAAATTTAGGAAATAGCGAGTAGAAAAACGAAAGTGTACGGAGCGAGAAATAAATCTAATAATAGAAGCCACTGGTAATCCATGGATTTTGACTTAGTTTAAGCGAGATTTAAAAGAATACAAAAATGTACCTTAAGTAGAAAACTTACTTAAAGGACCGGTCAATATAAGTAAAGGAAACAGAGAATGGTTTATTATAAACTAGGAATGATACAGAATTGTCATACAAATATGTATCAAATATGATTATAATATCTTTTACAAATAAGTATGTACTTATATAAAAATTGTACTACATTCATATTGAGGATGAATAAAAAATTAAATATAATAATACGACTATTGTATGTTAAAACGTTAGGTTCCGTTTCACAAATGTAAATGAAGTGCTATTTTTTTATAACAAATACGTAATGAAGAAGACAACATACGTTTTAGTACCGTCAAAATGTGAAATTGTATTCTCTGTTTTTATACAACTTAGAATGGCAAACAAGCTGACGGCCCACGTGATGGAAAGTAGTAACCGTCGCCTATAGACATGAGCAGTACCATGGACATAACAGAGTATACTGTTTCGCCCATGATACCTTCCATACGTTGCCATTCCTGAGGACTCAGATGTTATTCCTCTGTACCCTGTTAATTCACGCCATATCCCACCTATCAAACCGAAACACAGCCATGCAAACACAACTGCTTCACGGTAGAAACACGAATGGGACAGAGGTATCCAAGCAATCGATTTTTGTATAAAGTCTCCCTCTCACACTTTTTATAACACTAAGAGTAAAAAAGCCTACAATTGCACGCTATTTATTATAATATTATTTTCAGGTACCCATATCTTAAGCAGATATGGATTTTTCATCAAACAGACATAAGGCGATAAACTAGTACTCAGCTCATGTCTTTTACAATAATGTAAAATTTGTTTCATTAGCCAGTTTAATTAAATTTTGCATTATTGGTACATCAGGTTGATTTACAATTTAATTAAACTGCCGCTACCATAGTTTACAGCAGACAATAATAACTATATTGTGTTTTTTTGAACTGCAAGTTACTATGTATATTTTTCATATAAAGCAAATCCAGATAGACAATGCAACGTTTCATACATTGATATGTATATAAGTAATTTTTTATGAACATACATAAATATAACATTTCGATAAAACACCAAAAATATCAATAAATTATTCCACAACATATAATATAAATAAAAAAAATTCGTCTATTAAGACGATATTAGCTACTCAATAAGTAGTTAAATATCTATCAAATTTCCTTGAAATATGGGGTAAGAAATCCATATGAAGCCGTTTCAAGAGAAATAAAACACTTTACACAATAAACAATGTCTGTTAAAAACAGTTCAATTGTCAACTCTTACTTGATGATATACTCATGTGAGATCCATGATATATGAGGGATGTCTGGTCATGGCTCTTCGTCGCTTACCGACTGCGAGCTGGGGGGTGTTGGTTGTCAGACTTGCACCCTGTTGGGGTGTCGGGTGCCGTTGGTGGTGTGCATTTCTGCATCCAGGTGGTTGAGATTCTGTTTCGTATGGGGAGTCTTTCGTAAGTCGGACACGAACGTGAACTATAAACAGAATGTTAACAAAATAATTAACAAAACCTGTCTACTTCGCTAGGGAATTGGTGAAGATAAATTAACAATAGTAAGTTGTAATCTATCATATGATTTCTTATGTGTTTAAGATTAGTATTTAAATCTACGGTAGCAGAATTAGTGCAGAATTTTTTTACATTAGGTTTGACTTAGAAGTGTTCTTAGATGATCTTGCAGGAGAAAAGCGACGATAAGTATTTATTAAGAGAAGATGCCCTATTTTATTCAATTTATTTTCTAGTACATATTAACCTCAGTAATTTCCAGTTAGAGATAAAAACTTGACAAATATTAGTATTCACATGTTAAACTAAGAAGACCCTAAAATTCTTACAAAAAAGATTACTAACCACAATAACAGCAAAAAGAAGGCCAATACAGAACCCAGCGAGAACATCGCTCCAGTGGTGCTTATAATCGGATACTCTGGTCATGACGGTATACCACGCTGCCATCATCAGAACGAACTGGATGCCAGGCCGGATCAGTTTTGAACCGCGCCATGTCATACGTCTTTGAAGATACATCTAAAACAGTTTAAGATATATACGTTACTTTTTTAGTATAAGATAATACATAGTTCAATAAACTCACATTACTCATGATATTCTACAGAGTTATTTAAAAATAGATAATAAGTAATAAAAAAATTACACAGTAGGTACATTCTGTAACTTCAATTATAAACACAAACATCATAAAATTCCGAGCATCTTGTCAGTACGGAAGACTCAGAATTTTGATATATCCAGTAGTTGAGTTAGTACTTAACAACAGGATGTGTCGAGTAAGTACGGAGGTTCAAAATTATACATTAAACCATGTTTCTTTGGTGAAATTGTTCAGTTTTACAGGTAGAACTCCTTAAAAGATCGATAGCCGAAAGTAAAAAGTAGAATTATAGGATCGAGATCGAATATGAATGATTAACTACAATATAATATACTATAGTATAGTAATAAGTTAAACTTACAGAAAAATAAAGCATGGTGTAAGCAGAAAACGAGGAGTGTCCACTGGGGAATGATAGACGCATTTCCTTTAAGAGCTTCGCGCCTTGTTCGGAGTCGAGAGCGTTGAGGCACGTGAAGTTCTGGATGTACCGCCATTTGTTCTCTGGGAGACTACAATCGACGCTTGGTTTACACACCTGCAATTTAAATTGATTCTATTTATTATATTTAGTAAATGCTAGTTACCTGCAAACTCGTACGCGTGGATTTTGGTAGTAGGCATACGAATGTATGTAATGCGCAGAATATAGGATTATTTTATATAAGAACCCAACTAAGTTTGCTGACTCAACAAATATTGTTTTGTTCCATAAAAACTGTATCTACTGTTTTTTTTTCATCACTCAAGTTAAAGCAAACAATACACATTTTTAAATCTGTTGAACGGGTTCGAAGATTAGCGTGAACGAACACCGTGATACAGAATTTTTATAGCTTAAGATAACATTCGTCTTCCGCTTTAACCGAATGGATGGAAGTTATGAACTTCGAAGTTAACGTTATTAAGAATGGTAGAATATCAATTTACTTTTAAAACATAAAAATAAAATCAATTTTGATGGGCTGCTATATATCCGGCCCATATAAGGTAGAGGGCGCAATTCTTCATGCACCCCGCCTATACGGTAAAAGGAGCCAATTATCTGGTAACACGAAACTGACAGAGTGCTCGTAAATTGTCAGGCGATTAATGTTATTACACGTCATAAAAAGACTTCACGTTGTATTAAATAAGTAACTGAAATAGAATTATTATAGCGAAAGAATAAATATGAATAACAAAATAAAATAATTTATCATTTTATAATACATAAATTAAGTGTTTGCACCGTAAAAAATGAGCTATAAACTCTGCAAGAAAATAACTGGCGAACTCATAAACTCCTTTTAGAAGTAGTTTAAAACTATGTACATAATAGAATAAATACAGGGAAATTAGGCAAAGGAATGCGGTATGCGATGCGATTAATATATAAAAATCCCATATTATAATGCATTGACGTTAATCTCAGAAACCACAAAATTTTGTTAAGTGTTTGCTCCAACATAAGTATTTACACTGTAGCTATATACTTATGTAGATTATGCAAGAAGCCAAATAATATATGCCGGATCAGATTGCATATAAATAAATACTGTAATACACGACTGTAATCCCTAATGGGATTATCAGAGGCATAAATACATTGATAAATGAAAAAGGTAAGTCTTATATACAATATACTATCCTTACATATTAAAATGAACACTCAGAGTATTGACTATAAATTCCTTTTTCTTTTTATAAGATGTATTTACCAGAGAGTTCCCAGTGTTCATACCGGCTACTCATATTTGCTTGGACAGGTGTATTACGATTAATGGCATATTTTGAACGCGGCGTCTTTTACGTCTTTTGCATTTCATTATTTAGCTACAGTGTAATGTATCTCAACATACTACTTTAAATAATTACAATGCAATTTAATATGCTTTAAGAGTTGCTTTTTAAATAGAACACTGACTCTGCAAGTGTTTGCTTGAAAATTGTTTAATGATTAAAATTATTAACTGATAATAATCAGTTAAAAATTTTAGAGGTGAATTTTCTCTCCCTTGTAGTTTAATGTTTTTTTTTTGTAGAATAACATCAGACTTTAATTATGGCAAAATTCAAGCCCAAAGGTCGTATCTTAGCTTGCAATTCTATATCTAAAATAAAAGTTTTACTTTTTATGTCAATAACAGACAAAATATATATATATATATATATATATAGTATACTTTACCCACACCAAGTTTTTTTTGCTTTTTTTATACCGTAAAGGTGCTAAACAAGTATACAGCCACATAATTTCTAGTTGTAACATGTAAGCAACATATAAATAATTTCAGGCATAAAATTTTGTTTACAATCCCGATACAGTAATAATAGGGTTGTGTTTAATATTTTTTTCGCTTCAAGTTTTCGCATCAATCATTCGATCAAATTGACCCGTTCACTCGGTACGAACTGGTTTCACTTACATAGGGTTGTCGGAACCCGCTGTTAGTGGAATGGGGCGTTTTTATTTTAGTTACAAGTTACATAACCGGTTATCGTAATTAAAAGAATTTAAAGAGGAAATTGAACACAATAATGATGTCTTCCCGTTATCCTCATTAGAGGCTTAGGGGTCACAGGAGGAACTGATTACTGATTATTCTGGAGAGGCAAGTACTAGATCATACCGGCCAGTATGATAATATCAATTTTATTGCATAACCATGAATGTAGCAAACTCTGCACTGGGAATTATAGTAAAAGTATGTACGAATTCATTTGTACATTTGGATCAGTTTAAACATCTGTGTCTGAACTAGGTTATAAAACCTGTATCTCAAACAACAGCGCTCAACCCTCATTACATAGTATAATATTAGCTCAGCAAAATTTTCAGTGCTACATATAGAATGTTGATTTTATATAAAGTTAATTCATCTAGTTATAACTATTAGTAATAATGAAAATTGTGAAAAAATGTGCTCCCTGTGTGTAGAGTGTAATTTGAATGTATGTGTGTGCGAGGGTGTGTAAAATTATTTATATAGAATAATATAACTTTTTTTCTCAATCCATCGTGTTTATAAGGTTCTAGGACGGCTAGATGTTCGAGTCTGGTTTAGTGTATGATCCTCTGGTCCTCATAGCAAAAGTTGAATCTATTAACGTTTCCTTAAAAGGATATCTTGGTCGATGGGTCTCTTGGTTCAGTAACTCTCATAGTCTTACATTAGAGATAACAGAGGTTTCTATAGAAAATTCTGTTTTAGTTTTTAGCAGCACAATTTAAACTGTAAAACTGTCGGGTTTAAAGCACTTAGAAGAAGTCCACAGGACTTTTTTAGGGTATTATAGAGTATTAGGGATGTCATCCTAATGAAAATATTTCAAATATTATTAAATAACATATCTGAAATTACAGATCTTCTACATTTAACAATAAAAATTCTGACAGCCCTAAAATTAATAATAAGCTTTGGCTAAAATTGGTCTTAACGACATGTTGCGATCATGATCCGGTGAAGTATTTATTTTTCGAGTTTTGCATATTGAAGTACAAGAAATTTAGTGATTATGGGACGAGGAGAATAAGGTAAAAGCTGTATGGCCGTAGGGTTTAATTACAGTATCCACATTGCCAGGTCTTTTTCGATGCATTGTATTTTTAGAAAGTTAAAATTTATATACTTTTTATATGACACTACAAAGAGATGTTTGGATTGTGTGAACGATATGGCTGCCATGTCACTCGAATGAAATAAGTTACATGAATTTAGTTTTTAATAGATGAAAATGGAATAGGTGCACTATACCTATGCTAACGGTATACAATGGTGGAGCACCAGTTGTGGATGAAACGAAGAGAATGAATACAGGTCGGTTGACAAGTTTATCACGGTCGTTTTCAAAGGGGACCATGTAGAGGTTGACCCGACAAGGTATCATTACTACCCTGTCGGGTCGGTCGGGAGTCAGTCAGTCAAAGTACATGAGTTATACGTAATTTGTAAGTTTAAGCTACTAGACATACTTGTGAAGTCATATTTTTCAAAATATTTACATACGTTAAATATTTGAATATAAAACTTATGTAACTTAAAGTCTAACATACAATTTCAATCATCATTATCTTTTTTATATATATGAGCTAATTTTATACTTATATAAGATGCGTATAAGATAGCAGAAAGGGAATGAATACTGAAATAATTACACATAGAGATTAATGTAAAAGGAACACATGTCAATCTCAAATGATTGGGATAAATGTAGAAATATGATATATTTTTTTTAATATAATTTAGTTCTTTTAATTTTCTATGTTACTTCTATCTAATTATCTTCATACGAATTCCTAAAATAATAAATAGTGTCCTTTTTTATACGGTATAATACGTGTATACAAAATTCCACAGTATTTGGTTAAGCCGTTAAAGAGTCAAGAAGTAACAGTCAAATAAACAAACCACTTCACATTTATAATATTATAAGAGAATATAGCAGCTGAATATTTGGAAATATTTAAAAATGCATGTATTGTTTTTAGGAATCGCAAAATAAAGATTCAAGGCTTTGACTTTCCGACGACTTAATCCGATAGAATTCGAATCTACAATTTTCAACTACGAACTGGATACTCTACACTTACCGTTTTAGACTTTATAGCGGTAACACATACGCGATACGCTAGTCAGATCAACTACATACTTTCCCTTTCAACACGGCAGTCGACGCTGACATTTATATCATTATTGTTGAGCGATCGATACAGAAAATTATCAGCTGTTAACGATTTATGAGAGTGTAATCACTTATTTAAATATGAACTCAATTTATTAAATGCCCCCGGGTCGTGATCACTGTTTCGACTCAAATTGATGGACTACACTCCGGGCGTCATTATTCCCTGCATTTTCCCATATTTTTAAGCAAAGTACGAAGGAGCCTGTATATCCTCAGGTTATTTAGTAAGGCGTGAATGAACATTTATCAAAGTCGAAGCATAGTGTCGATGCTCGTTTATAATTGTAACCACTGTTATGGTCGCTCTTACTTCTTGATCTCCTTTTAGCTTTTTTATCGGTTGATGTGGAGTTACTTTTGAAATCTATCTATCCTCACACTGTTTTGTTCACAAGATTCGTTTGTACTTTGTCTAGGAGGAAAAGCTTGTTCTTGTTCTCTCTCATGTGAGAGAGAGTGAGAGTGACTGAAACTATTCTATCGATAGAGTCGTTTGTACCTTGTCTAAAGGAAAGGGATAGATAGAGAAAAATGATAAAAATCTTTATTGTTACATACATTTTTTGTTTGTTGGACTATTATAATAAAATTCAGATTGTTAATGTATGAGGTTCTCTATGCTCGTAATGTAATTTGCAAATTAATAAAATTAGAAAAAAATAGACTTATAATTATTGTGTGTATTATTTCGCTTACTATGTAGTTGTTTTGGTAAACCTTTCTGCAATCGATGCATATTAATTTTGGGACGATTGTAGGCTATATTTTTTATTGGTCAAAATACTGTTTGTAGCGAAGCAAACTCTACATGTAGATGAATAATTCCACGTTCTAAATTCAAATATTTGAAGTCATTATTTTTACGAAGAA